GGCCCATTGCCTCTCCCACTGCAGAATGTGGCCTCTAGATTAATGCCACCAATTCAGGAACATTTCTGACAGTTTTGAAGTACTCACATCTTCCCTTGTTTGTTTCCTTCTGGCTTCCTCCATCATAGTCTCTTCATTTGAAGCTCTGTAGGCCAAGGCCAGAGCTGATACCAACACGGAGCCAATACAGATGGCACATCAGATGCTCGGGTCACTGGGAGGATTAAGGCACTGTGCCCTGGCTGCTAGGAACACCTGTGCTTGAAGTGGAGGAGGTTAGGGTACCACAGTTGCTGCTTTATTAACATAGAGGTTTTGGATTTTTTTTCTCATGTGGTTTTTTAAGTGGATTGGTAGACTCCTTATTGCTTAAGAGTGGCTTTCGAGGCAGGCCACTGGCATCTGAATTCATCATTGACAATAAATGTAAGAAATTGGAATAAAAAAGACAGACCTGCTCTTATTTGCTTTTGTTCTCCACTGGTTTGGTTAACTCAGGGCAAGGCTGAAGATCAGGGTGTATTGAACTGAAGAAAACAATGCATTCAGTAATGTTATAGTTATCCTTAATCTAAATATGTCAACTATATCATTTTCCTCCTTTTCAAATAAAATACTTGAAAACGGTCATTTAATGGTGAACATTTTCTTCCTAAAGGGCAAATACAGGGGAGCTTAATGATAAACACAGCCCTCTGCTGGTAATAAAAAAAAAACATAACTAAGTATGACAGCATGAAGGGATGCTCAGAGTATTAGTATTTGGTTGAAAAATTACAGGAAGGGAGACAATACAGGCATAGTTCAGTGAACCTGAAGGGTTTATTGACCCCAGCAAGTAGCCCCTGCTGAAACAAGTCCACTCTGTACCTGTGATAGGTCTTGGTGGTTTAGGGTCAGAAATTCTTTTCAGTATTTGGATCACCTGAGGTGTTTGGCGAAACTCTAAGCTCTGGTCCTATCCCAAAGGAGTCAGATTCTGTAGCACTTGAGTGGTGCCCAGGAATCTGCGTTTTGGGCAAGCACCTCAAATGATTCTGATATCTCTGACACCAAGAGCCATATTAAAATGTTCATGGGCCTCAGGCACTTTTGCCATTGTGGGCCCCTTATTGAATAAAAATATTAAATATTATAATTTGCAATTACATTGACATGAACACGAATGAAGTTGAGGTTGGATTATATATTTTGTTCTTGATTTTAAAAGAAATTAGAACATCTTTTTGGCCTCCTAAAAGCTTCCTGGGCCCTAGCCATTGTGTCTACTGCACCTAACAGATAAGGCAGCCTGCTGCTGCTCCCTTGATTCTGTGATGTTAGGCGGAAGGCTGAGCTTTTATTTCTTATTATTATAGTATTTTAAGGAAGGAGATTTTACTATGTTGCCCAAGCTGGGCTCAAGCAATCCTGCCTCAGCTGGGATTACAGGCACATTCTGCTAGGTTTGTATTATTTAACTACCTTGGCTTCAGGAGGGAGGGTCCTTTTTTTTTTTTTTTTTTTTTCCTGAGACAGTTTCACCCTCGTTGCCCAGGCTGGAGTGCAATGGCATGATCTTGGCTCACTGCAACCTCCATCTCCCAGGTTCAAGCGATTCTCTTGCCCCAGCCTCCCGAGTAGCTGGGACTGCATGCCTGCACCACCATACCCAGCTAATTTTGTATTTTTAGTAAAGACAAGGTTTTACCATGTTGGCCAGGCTGGTCTTGAACTCCTGACCTCAGGTGATCTGCCTACCTTGGCCTCTCAAAGTGCTGGGATTACAGGCATGAGCCACTGCACCCTGCTGAGGGTCTCTTTAATCAATGATTTCACTCACTCAGGCAGGCTCACCTGTGAAATGCAGGATACAATGGGACCCTGCTACCGCAGTGGCTGACAGCCCCCCTTTCACTCTCTTTTCTCACATAACTTTCTGCAGATAGCCAGAATCTCTTGCTGCCTCATAATCTCTACGAAATCAGGAAATTATCCTCCATAATCCATTTCATACCATAGAAATCGATACATACCAATGTGTTAACTCTTCTCCTAGGTTTCAGCATGTTGAAGATTTAACTCCAGCTGAATTAAATGTTTTTTCTCAAAACACCTTGTAATCAATATCATGAAAATGGTCATACTGCCCAAAGTAATTTACAGATTCAATGCTATCCCCATCAAGCTACCAATGACCTTCTTCATAGAACTGGAAAAGAATGCCTTAAACTTCATATGGAACCAAAAGAGAGCCCACATAGCCAATTCTAAGCAAAAAGAACAAAGCCAGAGGCATCACACTACCGGACTTCAAAATATACTGCAAGGCTACAGTAATCAAAACGGCATGGTACTGGTACCAAAACAGATATACAGACCAATGGAACAGAACAGAGGCCATGGAAGCAACACCACACATCTACAACCATCTGATCTTTGACAAACCTGACAAAAACAAGCAATGGGGAAAGGATTCCCTTTATAATAAATGGTGCTGGGAAAACTGGCTAACCATGTGCAGAAAGCAGAAACTGGACCCCTTCCTGACACCTTACACTAAAATTAACTCCAGACGGATTAAAGACTTAAGCATAAGACCTAACACCGTAAAAACCCTAGAAGAAAATCTAGGCCAAACAATTCAGGACATAGGCGTAGGCAAGGACTTTGTGACCAAAATACCAAAAGCATTGGCAACAAAAGCCAAAATAAGACAAACGGGACCTAATCAAACTCCACAGCTTCTGCATAGCAAAAGAAACAGTCATTAGAGTGAATCGGCAACCAACAGAATGGGAAAAAAATTTTGCAATCTACCCATCGGACAAAGGGCTAATATCCAGAATCTACAAAGAACTAAAAGAGATTTACAAGAAAAAAACAAGCCCATTCAAAAGTGGGTGAAGGATATGAACAGATGCTTTACAAAAGAGACATACATGAGGCCAACAAACATATGAAAAAATGCTCATCATCACTGGTCATTAGAGAAATGCAAATCAAAACTACATTGAGATACCATCTCATGCCAGTTAGAATGGTGATCGTTAAAAAATCTGGAGACAACAGATGCTGGAGAGGATGTGGAGAAACAGGAACACTTTTACACTGTTGGTGGGAGTGTAAATTAATTCAACCATTGTGGAAGACAGTGTGGTGATTCCTCAAGGACTTAGAAATAGAAATTCCATTTGACCCAGCAATCCCATTACTGGGTATATATCCAAAGGATTATAAATCATTCTACTATAAGGACACGTGCACACGAATGTTCATTGCAGCACTGTTTACAATAGCAAACACTTCGAACCAACCCAAGTGCCCATCAATGATAGACTGGACAAGGAAAATGTGGCACATGTACACCATGGAATACTATGCAGCCACAAAACCGATGAGTTTGTGTCCTTTGTAGGGACATGGATGAACCTGGAAACCATCATTCTTAGCAAACTGACACAAGAGCAGAAAATCAAACACCACATGTTCTCACTCATAGGTGGGTGTTGAACAATAAGAACACAGGGACACAGGGAGGGAAGCATCACACACTGGGGTCTGTTGGGGGAAAATAGGGGAGGGACAGCAGAGGTGGGGAGTTGGGGAGAGATAGCATGGGGAGAAATGCCAGATACAGGTGAAGGGGAGGAAGGCAGTACATCACACTGCCATGTGTGTACCTATGCAACAATCTTGCATGTTCTTCACATGTACCCCAAAACCTAAAATGCAAAAAAAACCCCCCCCACACACACACATAAAACACCTTGAAACTTTCCTGACCCCAACCTACACTAAAAAATAAATTTTATATTGAGCCCAATACATACACAGACATAACTAAAAATTTTTATGATACACTTACCTTAAAATAATATTTCATAAAAGGTTTCCTGAAATAATACAGTATTCCAGTTCACTGAAATTATTCTATTCCATTTTTTTAAAAAATGCTGGTCTCACCCACTACGCTGATTTTATAACTAATAGGTCACTATCTGCAATTTGAAAAAGTGGGCAAAGGAGTAGCAGGCATCAACCATAGACTCTCTGCAGTAAAAGATATCTATTTCTGCAATAGGAATATACCAAGAATAACAGCTACCTTACCTTTGGCCGTAACATTCTGTTCCAATGTATCTGATGAGGTATCATCAATACATTCTCATTTTTATTATTCGCTCAGTCAATTATTTATTAAGCACCTACTAGATGCTGGCAACTCATTGTGGCTCTGCAAATAACAGCAATAATCAAAGTCCCTACCCTTAAGGAGTTACATTCTGATTGGGAGAGATAGACGGTAATGAAATTCATAAATACATAGTGGTCAGATGGTGGTAAGTGCCACAGAAAGGCTCTTTTCAGACCTTTCATTCCCTGGGCTTGCTTACATAACAACACCCTCCTTCCTTTGAAAACACATACTTTCTTTGGATTTACTGATGCTCTTACCTCGAGGACAGTAGGATAGGCAGTGATCAGTTCATCTCAAAGGTGCCTTTGTGTATCTTTTCTGTTTTGTATTTGTTCATGCATGGTTACTCAGATCAATATGCTTTTCTAATTTCTAAATTCCTTCTTAGTAGTGCTAATTAATTATCCCTGGATCTTGCAAATGTAATGAGAGTGGGATCAATTGCACTGAGCTAAACCTTTATTCACTGTTGGAGAGACCGTTTCAGTCCCAGGATTGGTGTTCCTAGATGTCTGAGTTCCTGCCTAAAGAGACCTCATACTGGACCCCCAACTACTTTTCTCCTGATTGATCCTGCTCTGAATGACAGGAGTTAACCGTGAGAATTCTGCAGCTGTTAGAACCGAGATCACCTCAGAGCAAGGCTAGACTCCAAATCCAGTAGATCCATTATACTAAAGGTTGGCAAAGTTTTTCTTTTCTATAAAGGGACAGATAGTCTATATTTCTAGCTTTCTGGGCCAGATACTCTGTCACTACTCAATACTGCCATCGTAATCCTGAAGCCACCATAGACAATATGTAAATGAATGGCATGCCATGTTCCAGTAAAACTTTATCTGCAAAAGTAAGCAGCAGGCTGGCCCCCTGAGGCTGATGGAGAGATTACTTCCTGCTGGAAATACTTGGGACTTACATTTGAGACAGGCTGAAAGGATGGCATGAGGGAGGAAAAAAACTTACAAATAAAGAACAGCCAGTTTGGCCAAAGAGAAATGTGCATGAAAGGCGGTGGCAATAGACTGAAATGTAATTCAGTAAGGATAAATACATTTACAAACACGCAAACTGAACTTTTGCTGGTTCATCTTTATTTTACGATCCTACTACTTAAAAATAGATATTTAAAAAATGTTATTTTAAAAGTCATCTTCCACTAGAATCATAAACTTCTTCTTTGTATCAAAAGTTGTGCCACTATCCTGGTTACTTGTGGATTCACCAAGCAGTCCAGCAAGTCATCCGTAGAAATGAATGTTTGAGAAGGAACCGTAGTAGTATTTGAGACAATCTCTTCCTCAACTGCATTTTCACTGTTGCTCATTATTTGTTGTCTCTTGGCACAATGCAGTTTTCCAAAGTGTTCTCCATCCTTGTCATCAAAGTCTTTCCCATCACTTTCAAACATGCCTCCTCTTTGTGAAGGTGGTTCTTCGGATCTCTGTGCTACAGGGACCAGATCTGGCCCAAAGTGACTTGTTGCCTCCGGTTTGCCTATTCCTGTGGTTAAGTTCTGGCTACCTGTTTGGCCCACCTCCACGTGGTCGCACACATTGAATTCCTTTTTCATGTGGTCTCCATCTGTTCTCACTGCTTGGATTTCAACTACCTTAGATGTTCTGCAACGATCAAAAAATGCAGAAACAGCTGCATTTAGGTAGCAACAGTTTACTTCATGGGATGTTTCCTCAACCTAAGGGAAAAGAAAAACGCTTTAAAATGGTTACATACATTTAGTTACACTGGAAAAGAAATGTCTTAGTCGGGGCTGAACCAGAAGCTGCCTACCTCAGTAGGGTTTAACCAGGCTCTTGTATTTTGTGGATTTTCTGCAGTTTTCAGGGCACACACAAGCATACGGGTGATTGCTTCTTCTACCCGGGCTAGGTGATCCTCTTCCTTAATTAAAAAATATATATATATATATATATATATTAACTTTGATTAAGTCTCAGAGAGTAAAGTCTCTTAATTTCATCTTCTGTTCTCTCATCAATATAAACTTTGTTATAGAAGGAATGAATATGCTATTGATAGAACCACAATTTTTGTGTATTTACTATCACCTGCCATCTAGAAGAGTTGCAGAGTATTTCACCAGTCAAAATTAAGTATGTATTCTGTTTATAAGACATGGCCTTAAGTATGAATTACCTTATGATGTTTTCTCCAATCTTTTCCATTATTTGACATGTTTAAAGTTTTTTTTTTAAAGTACTACATACAGAGGAATAATCCCTATAGAGTATGATAAGCAAATCATTTGAGAGATGGAAGAAAAATAACAATAAACATGCTTGGCTACAAGAATGAGATGGCTAGTCATCTAAACATGGCTTTCTTAAGACAGAATAAGTATAAGGTATAGCATTAATGAAAAACTGCATTAAAATCAGTAACTGCTGTTTATCAAAAAATACCAGGAAGGAAAAAAACAAACTAGATGCCTGTAACATATGTAACTGATAAAAGATTAACATGTAAAATAAAGAACCTACACATATCAATAAGAGAAATGAGCAAATGTTTAAAAATGGGCAAGAGACACAAAGACAAGCATTTTTAAAAGGATCAGATGACTCATAAACATATGAAGATATGTTTAGTCTTCAGTGAAGTGAAAATGGAGAAACCCATGATATTTCTCTCAAAAGGGACCTGATAATTCCAAGTGGGACACTGAGAGACAAAACTCTTATATACTAATGGGAGCACAAACTGATAGAGACATTTGGAAAACATGGGTGCATTATCTGGTAAACTTGAATACTGAATACCCTAAGGACCAGCAATACCACTCCTAGATTTATACACAGTCTAGAAAAACTCTTGCACATATGTACCAGGAAACATGTATGAGAATATTCTGCTTATAGAAGCAAAAAACTGAACACTGAATCATTCATCAACAGAACAATGAATAATGGATAAATTATTATTACAAATATATTGATATCCATAATACAGTAATAGTAATTAAAATAGTAACAATGAATAAATATTAATAATGAATAAATTATGGGGTACCTTAACACAATATTATATCACAGAGAAAATGAATGAACAGCTTACATGTGACAACACAAATGAATCTTAGAGACATAATATTGAATTTAAAAAGGCAAATCTCCATAATGAGACACCACTTCATACCACGATAGCTCTAATAAAAAAAGACAGATATGACCAAAAATGAGACATTAACAAGTGTTGGTGAGGATGCAGAGAAATCAGAATCTTCATACATTGCTGGTGGGAATGTAAGTGGTACTTCAGAAACCTGGGAGTTCCTCAAAAGGTTAAACACAAAGTTACCATATGTAAGGATTAATTTTGAGTCAAGTGGGCTAGACTACAGTGCCCAGTTATTTGGTCAAAGAATAATCTAGGTGTTGCTGTGGAGATACCTTGACAAGTGTTATTAGCATTTACAATCAACTGACTTTATGTAAAGGAAATTATGCTCAACAATGTTCATGGTCCTCATCCAATTAGTTGAAGGCCTTAAGAGTAAAAACTGAGATTTCTTAGAGAAAAAATTCTGCCTCAAGACTATAATAGAAGTCCTATGTGAGTTTCCAGGCTGTCAGCCTGCCCTACAAATTTCAGATATGCCAGCCCCCACCATCAAGTAAGCCCATTCCTTAAAGTAAATCTCAATCTCTTGTTCTCTATATAGACATTTCTATCTACTTATTAAATAGATATCTACATTTACATACATATAGATATCATGTAAAGATATCTATCTATATACTCAGAGTCGAATTGCTGGATCATATGGTATGTCAGAGTTCCTCAGAGAAACAGAATTAACAGAAGATATAGCCAGATAACCAGATACAGATATAACATATACCATTAGATTCATTATATACCATAAGATTCAGCCATGCAGTAGCATGCATCAGTATTTCTTTCCTTATGATAGTTGAAAAAATTCCATTGTACACATATAGCACATTTTGTTTATCCACTAATCAGTTGATTGATATTTGGGTTGTGTCCACTTTGTGCTATTATGAATACTACTACTGTGAACATTCATGTAGAAGTTTTTGTGTGGACATATATTTTCATTTTTTCTTGGGTCTACACCTAAGAATGGAATTGCTGGTTCATGTGGTATGCCAGTCAAGGTTCTCCAAAGAAAGTGAACCAATAGAAAAAATATATATGTGTGTATATGTGTACAGAGACAGACAGACGGATAGATGGACAGATAATGTGACAAAACTTTTTTGTTTAAGCAAGAGAATAAGGATAGTGAACAAAACAGACAGGGAAGGGATCAGGAAAAACACAGAACAGATGCAAGTTACTAATAAAATTCTAAGCTGGGCATGATCACTGTAATCCCACAACTTTTGGAGGCCAAAGTGGAAGAACTGCTTGAGGCCAAGAGTTTGACACTGCAGTGAGCTATGACTGCACCAATGCACTCCAGCCTGGGCAGCAGAGTGAGACTCCATCTCTAAAAAATAAAATAAATTCTAGTTTTGGGGTCAGGTAATGAGTTTACTGGTGCTCACTGTATTATTATCCTTTATATCTTACAAACATTTTACATATTCTTTTATATGTATAAATATAACAAAAGAAAAATGCTGAGAATGAGAAAAAAGCTTAAAAATTAACAAAATATTTTGTAACAATGTTTAGAAAAAGAACTAATAAATACATTTCAATACTTAAATAAGGAGGTGAAAAAGATGCAAAGCCACCAGCTGAGAAGAAATGAATGCTGCACCACTTGAACAGAACTAAAATCTCTACTCTTTTCCAAATATGTGATTCATGAAAGCAATATCAGAACCTGGAGTTAACTTGAGTATATGAGTATGGTAGACTCTAAAACCTAAGAGCTTTCTTGGAGCTAAATTTGGCAAAGAGAAGGAATTACTGTCCAATGTTGAAGAGACAATGATAAAAGCAACATATAACAGAGAAAGATATGATTATTTAATTCCAATTGTGCATTCCAGTTTTTCAATAAAGAATGAATGGTCTTCAAACGGAATTATACAGAAAGATGTTGAAGAAGGAACTGGAGGTCTGGTTTGGTGAAGGACAGAAATCATCTACTTGAAATCAGCATGAAGTTCTTAGCTACCACACTTCTAAGTACTACCTTGGAGTCTGTTTATACTCAATGATACTCAATCCTTTGGAAAGTTCTAGAAAAGATGACTAAATCATATATAATTAGCCTTTTAAAACACTGTGGTGAAATCTTTCATGTTATTGAGGCCATGTAAATTCAAATCTAAATAAAATATGAACAAACAGTATCGTATAGTAAATTTAAAGATAGTATATCACAACCAAGTGGTATTTGTTCCAGCAATTAAGGATGAATCAATACTAGGCAATCAATTGATATTACTTATGGCAATACCAGATATTTGCCAAAGAAGAATATTATGTAACCATCTCTATCAATTCAACAAAATTCAATACCTTTTTCTGATTTTAAAAAATCACAAAAAAAGTAATGAAATAGAAATTGATGGATATTTAATGTGATAAAACACATATACATCTCAGACCCAAATCTAGCATTTCACAGTCAGGAACAAGACAAGGAGGCCCACTATCTCCACTATTATTAATGAATTGGATGTATTAGCCAATGTAATCAGACCAAATCTCTACCCCCGCCCCACAATTATAGGCAAACAAATTAGAAAGGAAGAAGAAAAACTATCTTAATTTTCAGGTAATCTGAGAGATATCTGAAAACCCAAGAAAGTCAATTAAAAACTACCACAAAATAAAATAATCCAAATTAACACAAAAATCAATAGCTATCATATTCACTAGTAATATCCAGTTAGAAGACAGAATGGAAGAGAAGGCCTTACCCTAGCAGCAAAACAGATGAAATATGGCAGTCCTCCCTTATCTGCAGTTTCGCTTTCCACGGTTTCAGTTACCCGTGGGCAATCTCAGTTAGAAAATGTTAAACTCAAAATTCCAGAAATAAACAATTTATAAGCTTTAAATTACATGTAGTTCTGAGTAGTGTGATGAAAGCTCTCACCATTCCACTCCACACTGTACATACTACCTGCCTCTGAGTCACTTAGTACCTAGCTCAGTGATCAGATCATTGTCGTGCTATTTGCAATGCTTGTATTCAAGGAACCTTTATTTTACTTAATAATGGCCTCAAAGTACAAGAGTTGTGATGCTGGCAATCTGGATATGCCAAAGACAAGTTGTAAAGTGCTTTCTTTAAGTGAAAAGGGAAAGTTCTCGAGTTAATAAGGAGAGAAAAAACCAGCATGCTGAGGTTACTAAGATCTATGGTAAGAACAAATCTTCTATCTATGAAATTGTGAAGAGAAAAAAAAAATCATGCTAGTTTTGATATCACACCTCAAACTGCAAAGCTGCAGCCACACTGCATGATAAGTGCTTAGTTAAGATGCATAAGTTTGCATCTTAGTCAAGACATTACATTTATAGGTGGAAGGCATGAACAGAAAACTGCTGACTGATCACAGTAGGGTTTGGTAATATTCAGGGTTTCAGTAATCCACTGGGGATCTTGGAATATATCCCTCAAGGATAAGGAGATATTACTGTGCTTAGGAATAAACGTTTAAAAGAAATGAGCAAAGCTTATGTGAGGAAACCTTTAAAACGCAGCTGTAAAAACAAAAACAAAAACAAAAACTGGACTTGGACATATGGAAAGGCATCTAATTTGTGGACAGGATAATTCAACATCATAAAGCTCATATAAAATATAATATGGATCAGATAAAAACATCAAAAGGTTTTTTTTTTTTTTTTTTTTTTCCCTGAAGCTACACAAGCTGATTTTAAAGAACATATAAAAAACAGAGGCAAGAATAGCCAGGAAAACCCTTAAAAGAAAAGCAATGACAGAAGTTAGTTCTACCAATGTTAAAAACATAAGATCTCTCTGAATAAATAGGCAGAAAGGGGCCAGGCCCGGTGGCTCACACTTGTAATCCCAGCATTTTGGGAGGCCGAGGTGGGTGGATCACCTGAAGCCAGGAGTTTTAGACTAGCCTGGCCAACATGACTAAAACCCAACTCTACTAAAAATAACAAAAAATTAGCTAAGCATGGTGGCAGGTGCCTGTAATCCAAGCTACTGAGGAGGCTGAGGCAGGAGAATTGCTTGAACCCAAGAGGTGGAGGTTGCAGTGAGTCGAGATCATGCCATTGCACTCCAGCCTGGAAAACAAGAGCAAAACTCTATCTTAAAAAAAAAAAAAAAAAAAGGCAGAAAGACCAATGGACAAAATAGATCCACATGTGTTCAGATATCTAGCATATGATTAAACAGACATTCAAATCATTAAGGGAAAACAGATTGTAAAATAAATGATGGTCCTGACAATCCTATTACCATTTAGGAAAAGATAAAATTAGATCTCAACCTTATACTATATCCCAGTGAAAAATTTCCAAATGGATAAGAGATCTAAATGCACAAAACATGAAACAATCTAAATTCTAACATGAAACATTGGTGAATTCCTTTACGACATGGGAAACATCATATGACCTTGGTTTCTAATTATGACTCAGAAACAATAAAGTTCAACAACAGATTTCACTGGTAAGGCTGTGGAGGAAACAAGCACTTTCATATACTACTAATGGAAATGCAAAACAGCACAATCACAATGAAGCTGAATCTGGCAAAACCTAACAAAATTAAAGATACATTTACCCTATGACTTGGCAAATCCAGTGTTAAGATCTCCCCCAAAGACACACTTCAACAAATATAAAACAACATATGCACAAGGTTATTCAGTGTCATTATTTGTAATTTTTTAAGATTGGAAACAACCCAAACATCTATCCATAAAGAAACTAATGAACAGTAGGGTACCCATATAATGGGGCATTAGACAGTGGCTGAAGAAAAAATGTAAATATTTCTCTAGACTATTATGTAGTGAAATTCAGGATATTATTGTTGAAGAAAGCAAGGTGTAGAACACTATGGTTTATTACTTTCTGTGGAATAAAGAATATAAAATAAAAAATATATGAATAAATATATAAAGATGAATTATATGCCTATGCACTTTGTAAATATGAGTATATACTTATTTATATATATAAATATATGTATTCATTTACTTAATTTTATATATACATCGAGATATATATGTTTACAAGAAACACTGGAATTATAAACTAGAAATGAATAAAAATGGATCTCTATAAAGGCTGGGAAAAATGGAGTGGATGGAACAGGGATGAAAGGCAGATTTCCCTGAGTATAACTTTTAATATAGTTTTGACAAGTTAAATGTTTTATATATTTGAAATATTAAATTAGATCAAAATTGTTAAAAAGTAAGTAAATCCTAAAATTGAAAACAAACTGAAACAAATGAACTTAACTAAATATCCAATTAGTAAAATAACCATAAAAGAAAAGAATTCCTTCACAATGACTCCTGAATAAACGACTTTGTATCGATCTTCTTAGTGACAGATACAGTCTAATAATACAAAGAATTGCAAAGAAATCTTAATTTTTACTTGCAAGCTTTATGGCTAGTAGTAATATTACTATTTGAATTTTGGAAATGTAAATCTGACACCTTAAAAAAATATATTGCTGGATATAGCAAACAAATAAGTATATTACTGCTTATAAGGACCCAGATTTTCAGTGTAAGAGAAGAGATAAAAATACAGAAACAAATAAGAAAAAATTCTATTATGTTAAACTTGAATTAGGTCCTTTTATAGTTCATAAGTCTGATGACTGGGTGTCATTCTCATGTGTGAGACATGCCTCCCTTAAAGTTTGTTATGATGTCAGCACATTACTTGCCTATATATATTTCTTAAATACATGAATTAGAAATACATCAATATTTATGTATGTATGTATCTATCTATCTATCTGTCTGTCTATCATCTCTCTCTCTCTCTCTCTCTCACACACACATTCTAGCTATGTCACTGGAAGAGCCTGAAAACAGTATAACCCAGGAGCAATGAACAGCTTTAAAGCTGAGATCTGTTTCTAAATACCACTCCCTACAAACAGAACTGTCGCCACCTGGAGAAACGACTGACTTCAAGTTTGGGACACTAAAGGAAAAAGGGTATCATGGGATATCTTCCTGTACCAGAAAGCCAGGATACATTCAAAGTCTAATTAATGGGAACATGTCAAAAGGGCACAGGCCAGCTAGAAGTTTCACTAAAAGGACAGAGAAGATCCAAATTTAAAATTATTTTGTCAAGCTAGAATGTTTAATCAAACTAACATGTTGAAAATAGGGAAAACTGTGAAATACTGGATTTAGAATTAAAATCAGTTTTATAGGTACAGGATAGGATTCAACCTGCCTGACAGCAGATCATGTGGAAAAAAGCACAGATATTTTAGAGTTGAATATGAAACTAAAGTGAGATTAATTACTAAAAAACTAATTCAGTATTACAAGCAGAACTGGAGATATTTAGGATTGAGATCATGTGGGGGTAGAAATCTTATACTCTACCAAATAAGGCCCACTGATACTCAGTTTTAGGTGCTATATGTTAAGAGAACTATTCTCAAAGTGTTTAAAAAGTAGAAACTGCTATGGGGAGGAGGGAGAGCAATAGCTCTCCTTTTTAAACACTTTTTTTCTACTTTTTAAACACTTTGAGAATAGCAATTTCTACTTTTTAAATACTTCCCATAGCAATTTCTACTTTTTATTTCTTTTTAAATACTTTTTATTTCTTTTTAAATACTCCCCATAGCAATTTCTACTTTTTAAATACTTCCCATGTGCCATGCACTATATGAGATGCTTTTACAATGTGTTGTCCAATTTAACCTTATAAACCTCAATACTGAGGTGAGTTCAATTATAATCCTCATTTTATAAGAAAATGGAGGCTTGAAGAGATTAACCGTCTATGTTAGACAGCTAACCAAGGTAACTGTCTTAAAGCTTATCTTAAAGCCGCCTGATTCCAAAGTCTGTGGCCAAAATGGTAAAGAGTCTGAGGGGAAAAGAAGAATCATATAAAAACACCCCATTACAGAAAGTAAATGGTTTTGAGCTTAGAAGAAGAAAAGATTACAGAAACACTTGGAGATATCTTTAAATATTTAAAAAATATGACAGCTCCACTCTTTAACAACAAGTGAACTTCCTTGGGAGATGAAACGCCTGTCAGGGCTATTTTAAGTGTGACTTTGGCATTGGGAATGGAAGTTCTCCACAGATTCTACCTTGACATCTGCTGCAACTCCAGTTCAGCATGCTACAGGCAGAATTTCTGTGACGCTACTGATCTCCTGCCATACCTCTTGCCTAAGACTCAAGGGCTACACCTCTTCTCTAAGCCCACACAATATAGCTTTCTGTTACAATATTCCTTCTGTTCCACTGATTCCAAAGCCATTCCTATTACCAAAGGATAGGAAAAACTAGACTAGGGAGAGGATGTGGCTGTCAAACAGAGCAGAGAGATGCAATCCAGGCTTCAGGTCAGGGAGAGCAGAGATGCAGTCAGGACCTCTGGTTAAAGAGAGACAGCTGCAATTAAGGCCCCAGTTGAAGAGAGACTTCAGCATATGCAGCAGCTATTTTAATTGACAAATAGATCAGGCAATCAGGATTAAGCGCAGCACATTGGAGGGAAAGGCTTCTGGCAGAAATGAAATGATAAAAACCTACCACTGAAAGACTCTGCTTTGAGAATATGTAGAAGCCAAGACAGAATTCTGCAATTAGTAATGACCCTGAACCAAGATGCAGGTGTTTTCATCCCAGATGGTGTGGGAGAAGAGTGGCAACTAGGGACACATATTGGCAAATCTGTCCAGGCCCAGCACAATTTTCCTAATGACACTGGTCAAGGGAGAGGACCCTGCATGCCAACATCAGGCCCATTCTGTGTCCTTAAAACAAACAGAGTGGCACACCACTAAAATTCCTATTTCCAACCTAAACACCCATTAACAGAGGACAGAATACATAAGTTATAGTGCACTGCAACAACAACAAAAAAATACGGAAGTATTGGTTAAAAAAAAAATTACCAAGTTGTACAGCCAGACTTCATGTATCTTTTAAAAGCAGGAATTGCACTTACTTAAGAAAACGAAAAAAAATGAAAAAGTACCAGTTCGATCCATGAGTTTATACTGACAGTGACAGGATCAATGGATTCTACATAATGCCACCAGTGTCTGGGAACAAACAGAACCTGAAAACCAAACAAAGAATGGTTAGCACAAGAATAGGACATTTCATTTTTATGTCAGGGAAAAAAGGAATACAAATGAATTCATGATAATATTGGTGGAGAAAAGCGAAGCAAGAAAAAAAAACCTCACAATCCTTTTTCCTTTTACTTCTTTATCGACAAGTTCGCATTCTCTACAAAAGAAACTGCTAGCATCTCTATTCTCTTTACTCCTGGACCTTCTTTGTCTGCACCTAAATCTTAGTACATGGTTCTCAGATTCTAATTTTTCCTCCTTTCCATCACAAAATAGTTGTATGCATTCTTAGAAAGGGCATAGGTAAAACACATCGGACATGATTTCTGTTTTCTCAGTTTGAAATACAGCCAATGAGAAGATAATGTATAGGAAGGTGGCATTATAGAAGTGGTAAGTTAGAGAACAATGATGTTGGAGAATTTCAGAGGTGGGCAAAACAGGCATGAACTAGGGAGGTCAGGGGCAACATGGATGGAGGAAGTGTGATTTGAACCAGGGCTAGGAGAGCATTTAGACAGAGAAAAGAATGAGGACATGCCAGGAAGGATAAGAGGCAGAGGTGAAGGAGATAGGACTATAGAGGATAGCAAGTAGGTCAGTCTTACTATTGCAGAGGAAATAATGGGAGACACGGTGGGGGAGTTAGTTTAGGGACAGTGAAGGACCCAGACTTCAGAATAAGAATCTAGATTTGAGGCCAGGCACAGTGGCTCATCCCTGTAATCCCAGCACTTTGGGAGGCTGAGGAGGGCAGATCATGAGGTCAGGAATTTGAGACCAGCCTGACCAACATGGTGAAAACCCGTCTCTACTAAAAATACAAAAATTAGCTGGGCGTGGTGGCGCATGGCTGTAATCCCAGCTACTCAGGAGGCTGAGGCAGGAGAATTACCTGAGCCTGGGAGGCGGACGTTGCAGTGAGCTGAGATCATGCCACTGCACTCCAGCCTGGGCGAAAGAGTGAGACTCACACACACACACACACACACACACACACACACACACACACACAAATCTAGATTTTATCTGGTAGGCATTAGGAGTTGCTGAGAAATTATAAGTAGAGGGATGGTTAAAATAGTGGTATCAAGAGAAAGTCTGAGAAGGACAGGAGATACTTACAAAGGTCCACTTATTAAATGTTAAAATCTAAATAGGAAGGTATAATAAACAAAAGCAATGGGCAGAGTCAAGAAGGGTGGCATCTACCCAGACTCAGTATGAGATTTCCTATGGACAGCAGAGCAGATGGAGATGATCTGAAGCTTTTGGGCTTCAGATTTAGGAAACTACTGGTATTTGCTATAAATAAGGCAGGACTGGGAAATGGAAAAAGAGACCCTTTCAGGAAAACTGGAAACTATCAAAGGCCACTTAATTTAGCCATTAATAGATTATGCATGTCCTATCAGAGTAAAGTTTCCAGTGAAGTGGTGAGAGAAGAGCTGGGTTTGAGTAGATTAAAGAATAGACAGGGGGAGGGATCCAAGATGGCCAATTAGGAGAGCTCAGGATTGCAGCTCCCAGCGAAAGCCCAGAGGGTGAGTGGACACCACATTTCCAGAAATATTTTTATTGCCCACAGACCAGGTGATTCTCAGGTGGAGAAGCCCCACAGGTTGCCAGCGTGGCTGTTTCAGTCGGCACAGCTGTTTTTGCCAGTGCCCAGGTGCAGCGGTTCTCCATACAAAATACACTGGTCTGGGCACCGTCTTAGCCGGCGATTGAAGCTCCGGGAAGGCAGAGTTGCCCATTCATCTGATTAAAAAAGGGACTGAAACAGGGAGCCAGGCCAGGAGATTCCCAGGCAAAAAAGCAACACGAATCTCAGTGCAACTGTTTCAGCCGGCACAGTGGGTCGACGCACAGGAAATCACACAGATCCTGATGCTTTTTCAACAGGCGACTGGAACACCTGGGAGAGAGTCAACCATTCAAATAAAAAAAAAAAAAAAAAGGCTCTGAGGCAGGGAGCCAGGTGATCAGGCTTGGCTAGTCTCACCCCACAAAAAAACAGCAATTGGAAACGCTCTGGATTGAGGGTTTCACAGCAAGCACAGCTGAACCTGGGACAGTCCAGTTGTGTGGTGGAGGGGCATCCGCCATTACCGAGGCAGTCCACCACTATGTAGGTAGTTTGCCATTGCTGAGGCAGTCCACCTTAGCTGAGGTAGTCCGTCATTACAGAGAGAGTCCGCCATTATAGAGGTGGCCCGCCATTGCCGAGGCAGTTCTAACTATACCCGTATAAGCAGGACTGCAGGGAAGTTCACATGGCAGCTGAACAGAGCCCAGAGCAGCTCAGCAAAGCCTCTGCAGGCAGACAGTGACTAGGCTGCCTCCTCACTAGGATGGGCAGCCCTGAAAAAAGCCAGCAGCACAACAGGAACTCATAAATAAAGCCCTAACTCCCCAGGAAAGAGCACCTGGGGAAAAAAAAAGGAGGGGTTTATGAGTTCTGCCACAGCAGACTTAAACATACCTGCCCAGCAGCTCTGAATGAACAATGGAGCTCACAGCTCAGCACTTGAGCTCCTATAAAGGACAGACTGTCTCCTCAAGCAGCTCCCTGACCCCTGTATATCCAAACAGTCACCTCATAGAGGAGAGCTCAGACTGACATTTGGTGGGTATCCTACAGGGACAAAGATAGCAAAAGAAGAAACTGGCAGCAACCCTTACTGTTCTGCAGCCGCTGCAGATGATCCCCAGGCAAGCAGGGCCTGGAGTGGACCTCAGCAGCCCTACAGCAGAGGGGCCAGACTGTTAGAAGGAAAACAAACAGAAAGAAATAACTTTATCATCAACAAACGGGACAACCACTCAGAGACCCAATCTGAAAGTCAACAACTATAAAGACGAAAGGTGGATAAATCCACAAAGATGAGAAGAAACCAGTGCAAAAAGGATGAAAACACCTGAAACCAGAACACCTCTCCTCCTACAAGGGATCACAACTCCTCACCAGCAAGGGAACATGGCAGGATGGAGAATGAGTGTGATGAATTGACAGAAACAGGCTTCAGAAGGTGGGTAATAAGAAACTTCTGTGAGCTAAAAGAACATGTTCTAACCCAATGCAAAGAAACCAAGAACGTTGAAAATAGATTTGACAAAATGCTAATGAGAATAAATAACTTAGAGAGGAATATAAGTGAATTGACGGAACTGAAAAACACAATACGAGAACTTCGTGAAGCATACACAAGTTTCAACAGCCAAACTGACCAAGCAGAACAAAGGATATCAGAGATCAAGATCAACTCAATTAAATAAAATGAGAAGGCAAGATTAGAGAAAAAAGGGTAAAAAGGAATGAACGAAGTCTCCAAGAAATATGGGACTATGTGAAAAGACCTAATCTATGTTTGCTAGGTGTACCTGAATTTGACAGAGAGAATGAATCCAAGCTGGAATATACTCTTCAGGATATTATCCAGGAGAACTTCCATAACCTAGCAAGGCAGGCCAATATTCAAGTCCAGGAAATACAGAGATATTCCACAAAGATAATCCTCAAGAAGAGCAACCCCAAGGCACATAATTGTCAGATTCACTGGGGTTGAAATGAAGGAGAAAATACTAAGGGCAGCCAGACAGAAGGGTTGGGTTACCCACAAAGGGAAGCCCATCAGACTCACAGCAGATCTCTCAGCAGAAACCCTACAAGCCAGAAGAGAGTGGGGGTCA